CTGCACCCTCCCCGCCACCCCCAGCTGCTCTCTGCTGGTCTCCCTATAGCCAGGAGGCTCAGACATGCCCCCAGGCCACTGGCTCCATTGCCAGGCAACGCAATCCCACCCTTCACGGCCTGTACCAGGCTTGAGCTCAGCCTGCCTGAGCCCCGGCTCCCCCAGCCGTGGGAGGAGGGGTCTCTGCAGGGGGCGGGGGATCGGGTGTTGAGGCAATTGAGGGTCAGGGTTTAAGGGGTACCATCCAAAGTGCTGCAACTGCAGCAGAGCCTGGGGCCACCCTCCCAGCCATTCTGCATCCATTCTAGATGCCCCAGGCAAGGCTGCATTGCAGCCTCCTTCCCGGTAGTGGCTCAGCCACTGTGGCCGGGGGTGCTGACAGCCTCCGTGGGCCCTGGGCAAGGGGGAGGGGCCTTAAGTGAAAGGGGTAGGGGTGGAGGCAGCAAGTCCACCGTTCCCCCCAGTCCTTAGAGCCTCCAGGAGTGTGGGGTATGGCGCTCTGGATGCAATTTAAAGGGCTTGGGGCAGCAGGAGTGATGGTGGCCAGGAGCCCTGGGCCCCTTTGAATCACTGGGCTCTGGTGTAACTGCTCTCTTTGCTGCCCCTACCTCCATCAGAGTACCTGAATTGTCGCCTTAGTGAGCAGTCTCTCCCTTGTCGCTGATACTGGAACCCACATGGAGTGGAAATTATCTACTCACACTTTGCTCACTCTGCCAGAGGAGCCTGACGAATCTGCTTGAAACAATCAGCCTTGAAAGAGACGGGCTGACATTGGAATGGTTGTCATTAGGTTTCAGAGTTAACACCTCACTGAGCTGGAAGAGGACAGTGTCTCCTTACACATTACCTTTTACTTTGGCCCCTGTCCCTATGGAAGCCTCAGGGTTTGATTCTCCTCTCATGATAGCGTAAGGCAGGAGTTGAGTTACTCCCTTGACATGAACAGGTATCGAAGCAGTGTAAGCAGAGGAGAGTCAGTCCCTACTTGTCTCAAACAAGTCCCAGTCCCACTCCAGCTGCTCTAATCCCCTGGAGAAGGGAATGGATTTGTCCCGCCAAAAGAAACTACAAGTGTGAATGGGCCTGATTCAAAACACAATGGCATAACTTTTCCATTGATTTCAATAGACTCAAGGGCCTGCTGAGCTCTTCCCTATCCACTCCCATGTGTGCTGAGAGGGGAGAAGCCCAGACAGTCTTGGCTCTGTAATTCTTTCCTTTACCCATCTAGATCACGGGAAACCCAAAAAATGAGGAGTAAGGTTAGTTTGAACCAAGGGGTTTGGTTCGATCTAACGCATCCCGCCGCACACTTCCTGGTTCGAATCAGCTGTTGAGTGGAGTAACGCGCCGGCGAGATCATATTTAAATCCCCGCTTCATTAGCAATTCTGGTCACCTACATTTGCATCCCTAGTTCGAACTAAAGAGCAAGTGTAGACGTACCCCAAGTGTCCGAGGCCCAGCTGAGTTGCCTGCATCCCCCTTCCAAGCGTTGTCTTGTGCCCCACCAGGGATTGGCCTGTCCATATGCCCCGGCAGATGGTGAGAATTGCACCCTGGGGCCGGGCCGGGCGGAGGGAGACACCAGCGGGCTGTACTTACGTGTTATGGAGCACACACCAGCCGCAGTGGGGGTCCCCAGAACCCAAGCACTCGCTGCAGGTCTTGTATTGCCCGCACGACTCCACAGGCACCCGGGTCAGCTGCGGGAGGAAGGGAGAGAACATTTTAGTCTCACTGCTCCCAGTTCTTGCTGCAGCCATCGTCTCCTTGAGCCTAGCCTCTGCACAAGAGAGCCTGAGCAGGGCTCTCCAAGCCAGCCACGTCGGGGACGCAGCTCTGCGGAGGCTGAATACATCCATCCATCCCTCTGCCCTATGCACAGCCACACTGCTTCAGTGACGTAGTTCTGCTTGGAGAGACCCTCGTCCCTGCATGGGCTCAGCACAGCAGACAGCCCGTGTGCCAGGCACGGCTCCAAAACACATTGAGCCATTGCTAATTCCACCTTCGGCGTGTGCCCTAAAGGAGGGTGCTCACACTTCATTGCACCGCGACCCCCTTCGGACACCAGAAATTACCTCACGACCCCTGGAGGGCGGGCCGGAGCCTGAGTCCTCTGGAGCCCCACTGCCCAGGGCTGGTGGGGGAGGAGCAGGGATCTGCAGGTTCAACTCCAGGCCTGCTGCTCTGAGTCCAAACATACAGGGCTGAAATCCAGCTTTGGCCCTGGGGGGTGGGGCTCGGGAATCAGCTTCGGCCCTGGGCCCCAGCAAGTCGAAGCCAACCCTGGGGTGTGCATTAAAATGGGGTCCGGACCCTACAGTTCAAGAACCTCTGCCCCAAATGGCAACCGCAGGGCCTGCACTGGTGACACAGGCTCTGAAAGCGGCTCTCTCGTTTCGTCTCACAGGCCGCCCCTTTTACATAGCAGCCTAACAGCCCTGCGCGCTCATCCTAGTGTCCCCATTTCACTGATGGGAATTAAAGCACAGAGAGGCTAAGTGCCTTGACCAAGGGCAGACGAGAAGTCGACAGGGCAGCAGAGATGGGAACCCAGTTCCCAGAGTAACAGCCTGTAACCACTAGGCCACCTTGCTGTTCTAAGAACACGCTCTTGTTCTATTGTCTCAAGACCTCTCTGCTGTGCTTTCTGCATGCTGAATACTTCCTGGCCCAATAAATTGCACACTAGGCATCATACACAAGCCAATCTTTTCTTCTGGAAATCCCAGGCCTTTTGTTTTCCAAGCGCATCCTCATGCCGCTATCATTACTCTTGCCCTGGGACCCCTGGACTTCAGCTCCAACACCCTCTTAGCTTTGGGCAGCTGAAGGAATTTCAAAACTTCCCATCATTTCCAGCTATTCCTGGTTGGGCTGTTTCGACACCTGGTCTTCCTATCCTAGCCCAATTAGCACTCCCATTGTCACAGTGTCCCTTTGTCCCCCTCTAGCGGCGAGACAACAGAAAGAGCTTTCTGACTTGACTCATGCCTCCAAGCTGCTAGCGGAGCGCCTGTAAGTTCAGTGTGTAGAGATGCAAATCTCCAGAGATGGTTACAGGATGTTAGCAGTGAGTGATGCCTATCAGAAGTGGGATCTAAAAAAGAACTGCTCTGAGCCTGGCTACAGAGAAGAATGTTTTAACCCATCCCACCACAAGGCGGCGTAACACCGACAGGCAGAACCGAACCCGGGACCTCTGGAGCTTCGTGTAGGAGCCTCTATAGCTTGAGCTAAAAACTAGCTAGCTGTCAGTTAAAGCACAGAGCAAACTCATTCTCTCTATAAGTGGCCCCAGTGCCACTACATGGGACAATGAGCCACTCCCAGAAGGTGTGTGGGTTACAAAAGCATCTTTGCATATTCCTCGCTTTCTTTCTAATTAATAGAGCTTAAGGCTAGAAAGGAACTCTGATCAGTTAGCCTGAGCTCTGTATAACAGGCCAGAGATATCCATTGTATTAGATTTTGACAACTTCTTTCTTTTTTTAACCAGAACTTCCATTCTGAGCCTAGTGACTGAGTGTCTTTCCCACTGAATGAGCCCCAGAACGGAGCCATAATATACAATCCATCTCCCACACCTTCACAACCAGCCCATCATATCAGAGCATGTTTCTTCCTTCAAATGATACAGTAAAGTACTACCCTTATGAAACACCACTGTGACCTGCCAGCAATAAACTGCTGAACAGCTACCAGTAAGAGATAATAAGAGAGAACACCCCGTCCTTGTGGACAGGTTTTTAAAAGGATATGGCGTTCAAGTGGGCTTGAACTGTGACGTTTCAAACAAAGATTCACTCTGACTGAATCTTTGCAGGAAAGAGGAACAGGCTCTGGTTGGTTTTGTTTTTTACCATCACAAGCAAAAATCCTTTGTTTTGTTTGGAACCTGCTTTGTTTCCCTGATAAACAGTCTATCGGAAATTATTTCAAATCCGTATTTCACAGGTCTGGCAGGACTTTCCCCAGCAATCCTCAGATGACTCACGCCCTGTTGTACTTATCCATTTTGTCATTGCTCAGGGGAATTCCTCCACAGACACCCGCTGCTGCAGCGGGGCACTTTTACGTGGTTATGGGTAAGTGTCAGAAGGGCTGCCAGATTTGGTTCAAAGAAATAGCTAGAAGATTGTGCCTACACAGTGGCCATGGGAATCGCATGGGTGCAGGCCAGTGGGGCAGAGGAAACAGGGATAATAATGGAGTGGAAACAGGTTAGAGACTTTTTCACACTTTAAAAAAGTTTTGGAGGAGGATTCGCATGGTTATGTGCGTGCTGTGGCGAGGATGGGATGGAGTATGCATAGAACCACAGAGTTTACAGCCAGAGACACCAGTAGATCATCCAGGTCATAGCATTCCACTCTGTCACTTCAGTATTGAGCACAGTCGCTTGTTTGACTTTGGGACAGTCTGCACTACAAAGGCCTTGCGGATACAGCTCTCCTGGCAGCGCCCCCTTGTGGAGAAGCAGGCTAGGCCATAAAAGGAGTTCTTTTGCCAGTGTAGTTAAACCAGGACCCCGAACAACATAACCTTGCACTCTTCTGCTGGGGAAAAGGAGTTCTTTTGCCAGTGTAGTTAAACCAGAGATCAGAACAACATACCCCAGCAGAAGAGTGCAAGATTATCTGCATGCACACGGAGTGTCTTACTGGGTTTTTTCACACCCCTGCCCAACACAGCGGTGCCAACCAAACTCGGCAGCATGGACCGTCCTTCCTTCCAAACATTTCACAGAGTCATATCAGAAAGGCATCCTGGTTTGATCTGAAGATTTCTATTCCACTGGTTAATCACCCTCTGTAAAAACTAGGTTGCGCTTGTTCTTCCTTTATCAGGTCTGGTTGGACCATGCCTAGATCTTAACCCAGTAAAATACTTGCAAAAGCTGTTAATAATTCATTGGTTAAAAACTGTAATTCTGTTCTTCCCTACTCCAAAAGCAGCCTATTATGGCTATGTCTACACTACAAGGTTTTTGCGCAAAAGCCCATGGAGCATCCACACCTCAAGCGCGTTTTTGCACACGAAAATCTACAGGCAATTGACAGAATGGAGTGCTTTTTGCGGTGTAGGTATACCTCCTTCTACGAGGCATAATTCCTTTTTGCACTACAGCTCTTGCACAAAAAGGCATGTGTGGACGCTCCGCAGGGGTTTCTTGTGCAAATAGAGCCTATCTGAAAAAACACAGGTGCTTTGATGGCCATTCTATGATGCGCTTTGAGGTGTGGATGCGCTTTTGCACAAGAAGTTTTTGCACAAAAACTCTTCCGCAAAAGACTTCTTGCGCAAAGACCCTGCAGTGTAGACTTGGTCTATGTGTTTGTCCTTCATCCACCTGGAAGGACAGAAACTTGTAAGTACAGGAGGGCCTAAGCTAAGAAGTTCAGATCCACAGGATTTTGGTCCGATTTTTCATTTGAATTAGAGACCTCAATTCCCCACCCACCGCCTCCAGTCTGACAGGGGTTCTCGTCCTAGTCGCATCAGGATAGCATTGGAATGAAAACGGAGCCTTGGGGAAAAGACACCACCTCGTCAAGGCAGAAGCAAAAGTATGATAGTGCAAGTAGCAGCTGTAACTACCCCAGGGGGGAAGACTCATTGGCCAGCGGTTGCAAAGACATAACAGAAATTAGATACATACGTAGGTTTTTATAATTGCCCATCACCGTGGAATTTGAGCATTATTCAGCCATCCAGGTAGCAGGGCTTAGTTTCAATTAGATACCTGGCCTGGTATTGCATGCTTCCCCTTTGGAGACCCAGGGGTACATGCATTAGCAACACAGCTTGTTTGTATTAATGGCTCCAAGGCACACAGTTATCCTGTATGAACCCACACCAAACCATGCACCCTGTTCTGCAAGGCAGGTGTCCAGTATAACCCCTCCTGTTATTGGGTGTTATTGCTGGTTGTATTGGGCCCTGTCAGAATTCACCTTAAGAAGCTAGATTGTGAGATTAATTAAAATTGTACCATGCTGATTAACGTCAGACCTCCTAATTAATAAAGGGAGAGACTACAGAAGACAAAGGAGCTGTGACTGAGGAAAGCCACCGCGGGATCATCAGCTTAACAGAAGGGAACAGTGAGCAAATAAGACAACATCAGAGCGGGTACTTGGCCATGGGACATAAACCACAATTCCATCAGCTCATTGGTGGGGAGAGTGGGCAGTTTGGAGACGGGTCTGTGCCCTCTGGGAGCAATCAGCCTTGCACGCTGCCCCAAAGATACAGGAGAAAGAAACGTCCGTGCGACTCTGCAATCGTGTCTTCCCCTCGGCACTAATGACAGAGGGACTAGAGTCTGGTCCTTTATCTATAGTGAACAGGGAACGACCCCTGAAACTACAGTTTGATTCCCAACAGGAGTAGCAGAAGCTCCCGAAAAGTGGGGGGGGGCACCAAAGGCAGAACCACGATCCTGCCCCCTACATCATCCCTTCCCCCAAGCCTCTATCCATGCACCAGTCAATCCCCCCCGAGGCCCCATCCTTGTACTGCCCTTTCCCTCTGTGGTCAAAAAAAGAAGGGAACGACCCCTGAAACTACAGTTTGATTCCCAACAGGAGTAGCAGAAGCTCCCGAAAAGTGGGGGGGGGCACCAAAGGCAGAACCACGATCCTGCCCCCTACATCATCCCTTCCCCCAAGCCTCTATCCATGCACCAGTCAATCCC